CCCCAAAACCCCAAAACCCCAAAACCCCAAAACCCCTTTTAATCATCTGTTGGTTGAAGTAATAATTTCTAGTAAATCCTCTTCTCTGACATGTAAAGAAGTTTGAATATTTGAGAATTCAGTGCATACCACAGTACAAAGACTGATAGCCCTGATTGAATCAGAGGGAATAGGAAATGAGTTTTCATACTAGTGTATAATAATTGGATCAGGCACCAAATAGATTGACAAATCAATAGAGTCATGTAGGTCTTCTCAGGACTATGAAATAGGACATATAGTAAATACGTCAGAGTCTCACCTGGTTTATTATGAATATTATTGACTTTACAGGCGCCTACATAATACTTATTATTAAACTCTATGACTTCAGTTGTATCCTCGTTATTCTTTGCTCTGTTCTTAATTTTGTTGGCTTCCTTTTCAGATATCTTCTTCCAGTAACCGAAGTATTTCGCATGCTTGCTAAGCTCCCTGGCGTATTTTGAAAAATAGAGAGTTGCTAACAGGAATAAGGAATTTTCAGCAACAGAAACTCCAGCCATGAGACAGCTTTTGAAATCAAAGTAGATGATAACTTGCTGGGTACCCCCAGCATTGAGTTCATTGTTTTCAATAAAGCCTAAGGGTAATAGAATACAGAACCACACATATTCTGCAGTGTGGAAGATGCACTTTTTGATAATCTGAAGCACCTCAAAAGGGGCTCATTCAATACAACTGTTAGCGTCATCCTGTGATTTCGAGCAATTTGGATGCTTGCACCTCACGGGAATATTTTGTAATTGGCACTTATTAAATGGTGTTGGAATCGGCATCAATTGGAAGGTGTTTTGTACATATTTCTTAGATGTAAACTTGACCATCAAGATCCAGGTAATTATTGGATAAATTAGTAAAAGAGCTGATTCAAGACTAGAGTACATGCATATCTTTATTAGAAGAAACAAGAACCATAGAGTCAAGAATGACTTCAGCACCATTAACAGAGTGGAAAGTACAGAATTTTCTATAAATGAATTTAGACCTCAGAGAATCAAAATTCAATACTTGTAATTTTCTTCGTCAAAAATAATAAATCTGGCATAAATTTGATCAAATAAGAATTAAGCATAGAATCTTGCTTTTCAACTTCAGCATAAATTAAGCCTTTTCTCTAACACTTTCTCAAAATCTCAAAGACTACCTTTCCAACCCATATCCGGGTCCCAAGAAGCAACTAAGCCCTTAGCTCCTTCCTTTTCTAATGCTCTTACCTGTTTTATTCTCTTTGGCAGTTATTAAGTTGTTCACGAACATTCTTTTGGACAAGAAGATGCAACTCAGTAGGTACAAGTCAAGGTTGTTGTTGTAGTACTTCATCTATACCATCATCAAACCTAAAACACATGCGCAGGATTTAGGATACTAGGTTTAAATCAAAAACACTAATACTACATCTCCAATACTTTCCACCCCTATCCCAACACCCAAAACTACATCTAACCACTTACACCCCCACATCACACCCAAACCCAACAGCACAAACAAATCCCCCTCTCCTATCCACCCATCTCCTAACCCTCCCATCTCCCCCTCTAAAACCCCTTCCCATTTCCCCGTTCAAACCTCTATAAAACCCATTCAGCACAACCACTAAACACCCGCTCTTAGATTATCTCCCAGCTAAAATCTAGTTTTTAAGAACCTGGCTTTATAAGTATTTGGGAATTAAGTTAGGAAATTTAGAAGAAGGGTTTAAGAGGAAGGAGGAGTTTGGAGTTTGGGGGTTGGGAGGGTTTGGGGGTTGGGAGGGATTGGGGGAAGAGATTTTAGGGGGAAAGGGGGTGGTGAGGTGTAGTGGAGAATTTGGGGGTTGGGATTTTATGGTTTTGATAGGTGTGGATGAAGTTTTGATGCAAGATGTGGAAAGAAAAGTATATTTTTAGAGTAAGAAAGTACTGATGTACTCAAAATGTATTAGGAATTTGTCATTTTTGATAATTTTGGAGTAAGATATTTTTACTTACCATGAGAGTAAGGTTGCTGACTCCAAACAAGTAATAAATGATCTCAAAAGACATTGTGTCCAGCCCTGCCTTCTGTGGATCTATGGATATCCCATCATTTGAGCCTGAATCAGCACCTTCTTTACCAGACCTATCAGTAATCAAGTTCTTATGTCTCTTAGCAAGTACCTTAATCTGATCCCTTACTTCATCAGAGATTTGAATCTTGCTAAGGTCGATTTCAGGTTTTGACATTTTTAATATAATTTTATCAAATTTTTAACATTATTTTAAGCACTGGGGTTTTGGGGTTTTGGGGTTTTGGGG